CCCAACCAACGCAGCTTCTGGTGCTGGACACATTCTTCAATGGAAGTACCTGTTACACAACCCAAAACACGCTTTCTAACTGCTTCGTTACGGATTCGCCGACACCAACCCACACGAGCTATGGTTCTGAGACAACGATTGTCGAACATCTGAAGACGTATCAGTTCCGCTGCTCGAATAGGTCAAGTCTCATAGCCGTGCAACAAAACAGCCCGCACTGTAGCTTGATACACACGTCCCTTCAGATTCAGGGTAAACCATTCTGACGCCATAACATTTGAGGCAGGGAACTCAAAACGACAGAAAAACCGTCGGATAGAAGGTATATCTCTTGAAATTTGTTAGGTCAGTGCAGCTGGTGCTTTGGTGAAGAAACAGCTCACCACTGATGAAAACTCAATGTTCATTCGGCCACCATTCAACGGCTTCAAAGTGTATTACAAACCGGATGAAACAGTCACTCAAAAGTAGAACCCTCGGCCTTCTGGTCCGTGGTTGAATACTTATCTATTTGGCTGTTGAGCTGCAGAATGACTAGCTCTCACGTGAGTAGACCATAGCGCCCCTCAACCTTCACTCACAAACGACATCACGTGATCATGTAGTGACTGGCTCCTCGCGCGACGACCTCTTAGAAGGAAGTTTCACTAAACCTGTGGATTTTTTTCTTGATCTGAGCCACTTATAGATGATCCTAGTGTAAAATATCTTAGGGGATAAAATCCTCAAAGTATGATTAACTCAGAAGAACGTCAATCGCTTTGTTTTACAGTTCACAAATACTCAGTAGGAATTTCAAAGACAAGTCTTCTGTCGGCGACCCATCAGTGGTGTACTGGCCGTACAATCATACTAAAAACTTTTATTAGTGCATACACCTTCTGATTTGTATTATGGCCATCATCAACAGTGCACTAATAGCGCAACCTGGTATTTAGGTGGGAAGTACGACTGATCGAATCTGTGTTTCTTTTCCCAAAATCTCGTAGATGGTTGCGTTTGATGTCAGTCTGGAATTTTCGCAAATGCTTGCATTGTGCGGGCGTGCTTGCACGTTTTGGACTAAATAAACGGTTTCGAGTGGATTCCGGTGTGACAGCTGTTGCACTGCGACTACCTAACCCTTGGATCACCGGTAGTGACGCAACCCTTGTCAAGGGTGGAACATTCCTGTTGGATCTTGACCTATTTTTCCAGTACCCGATGACTTTCGGACAGTTCGAACATGGTGGAATTGAACGCTGTTTTTGACGATGGCTCCCCGACTCCGAACTTGAGAAAATTGATGTTTTCGGCTTTCGTCTGTGCGAAATTCACTTGTCTTGTTTGACGACAACTGCGAGTGAATAAGTTGGTAACAGAGGAAGGAGATATTTCGGCAGTGGTGGACGACATTTCTTGAGGAATTTTCGCAATCAAGTCAAAAACTGGAACAGAAAACACTTGGTTTAAAAATCGAAGTTTTGGATTGGACTGCTTGTTGAAGTTGGTGTCAGATGTTGGATTTTGTACGCTCGTGTGTGTGACGGACGAACGAGGGTGAGGCCCAGCAACATGGGATCAGTTATCCATAATTTTCTGATTTCTAATCTACATTCAGCCTTCGTTTTTGCTAGGACAGGAGGTCTAATGGGCGGCAGGCTAGCTTCATCATTATGTTCGATGCCAACTGAAACATGAGGCGGCCTGTGTGCAGCACATTCAGTTGTAGAATATCATAAACGAGAGATTCAGTTGAGTCTCTCGTGAAAACGAAATCGATTTGCAAATGAGTGTATTTCTCGAAAACAGTCCGATTTGGGTTCAAGTAGATCATTAGGTTGACGGAAACTCGGGGACTGCACCTAACTGATGAGCCCCAAGAAAGACGAAACCGGTCGTGGGCTGTCGAGGAGTTTTCAGAAACCTTGTGAGTAGTTCCCTTTATGAAAAGTCAATACAAGTTGTTCTTCGACTCTCATCCGTTTATCTCTGGCCTAAAGGTTCAAGGAAGTGTACGCGTACTAACTAGGTTGGTTTAGTGATGTGCCAATAAGGGGCGAATTTCGATTTCAAACTTTTCATAACTGTTTGCTCCAGGATATGCATATTTGTTTCATACAGTGGCCAGGGTAATCTTGCTTTAAACACAGTCTTTATGATCCTCAGGATCGATAAGGTCTTTGGCCTTAACCACGTTTCGTTCTATTGTGCTATGCATACAGATAAACGTGTCAATATCATAGCCATTCCTTAAGGTACATCAAGTGAAGCCTAGGGGAACCTTCTCTTCTTGTCTAGGTGCTTTGACAACTTTTGACGTACCAACAAACCCAGCTTTCACACTAATGATGTCACCCTGGTCGATGATGAAACGTTTGTTACTAAGGTGAGTAGTTCTGCACATACACACACAATCACTGAGCGCACTTTCTCTTCAGTTTTCGCTCAGTCAATGCCTGTGGGTTCACACTTTTTGCAACATATTATCCAGTCTTTGTTGTTCACCCGTTGGTGATATACCTTTTCAATGTGACTGACTGATAAAGAGCCGACCGTTCATTTTAGGTAACGGGAATTTGAAGCGGACACCCATTTTCAGTGAGCGTCACCCCGTCTGTTGTTTAGCCAATCCAGTTAGGCTTGTTCTGGATAAATGATACAAACGAAGAAATTCTCCCCGATATAAGTCGACCAAATGCACATGGGTGGATGCAGTTGGGTCGGACATTGGCCGCGATACACGACAAATAGCTTGTAACAAGGCTATGCAATTAGTTTTTGCGTACAGTGCATTTGTGAATGTAAGGAGATTCCCGTTTGATCAATAGTCATTGGACTCATTAATACGTCAACAACAGTTTTGACGTTATGTGTGCCCGACAACGACAACGCCATTCACCGTAGGACTAATGGAATATTGTTTGAACAGCTGTCTCCCTGTTCTGGCGTAATTATTCTGGTGAATCCACACCAGAGGGAGCGGAAGCACTGGGCTCAAGTTCTGCTCTTACTGGAGATCATCAGCATTGTATATTCAATGGCCGTGCCGGGATTTGAACCCTGGACTTCTGACATGCGAGGCGAGCGTGTAACCACTATTCCACCAGCGCAGGTTGAACGCATCTGAATGGACGAACGTGCTCACGTTTGAGCGATGTGATTGGTATGACGCCCCAGTAACTGTCTCGGTTGCGACGATCGATTGACCCGCCAACCAGGACTTCCCAGTCGGGTAGCGCCACAGACGCTTGAAACCCGCTGCACAACTTCTGTTAATGCGTGTTGTGGGATTTGCGGGATGAGTATTGTTCGCTAATGGAATACCCTCCACCACCTTGAGGATGTAGTGATTGATGGCTCCCAGTCCCACATGATAGCATAGTGTTTTACTGACGAAAGGGTAAAGTATTACGCTGAAATTTTTTTGAAAAATCTACGAACGACGCCGGTTTATCGATGATACACAGGTAAACGTTACCAGTGACCCAGTGGTTACGGCGCGAATTTAGTGATTAGAAGGTCCGTAACTCGAATCCACACCGGGGTCCTGACTACTCCTGTATTGGCAGTCTCTCAGCCGTGTTTCCTTCGTAAATTCGTAAATCCCTTCGATACTGCGGTGACTGCAAGTAGAATTGGGCTTCCCGCTTAAGAAACCTACATGCCCCAGAAGCCGGCAATTCAATGGACCCACATCTGCAGTATTTTTCAAGCGTTAATTTTTGGTAGACATCGCCGGTTTCATTCAACTACAATACACAACTTCCTATGTATATCAGCCTCGGCTGTGTCCATTATTACATTAGTTTAGCTATTACTGAGTCCCGTCTCCCTCACTTTGGCAGTGTGGAGAGGTTTCGGAACTTCTAATAGAGATTTTGTCCTGTAAATAAGGCGAATCGATGCTGAACAACGGGACGGGACTCTACAGCTGTTTATCCTTATCAAGGATCATCAACAGCGTCCACCTCATGGAACTCAGAACCCGTGGCCTTCCAGCTGATCAACAGTGTGATTCACTCGCACTTAGGACGGACGTAGCGCCACTCATCCCGAAGCACGGAATCTACATCACGTGGTCACGTGTAAACCGGCTCCTCGATGGACAACCTCTCAGATGGAGGTGCGGTGTTTGGCAGTATGACAGCGCCTTTCAGTTAGAAGGCAACAAGACGCAACGGCTTCTGGAGAAGTGAACAAAACTACGCAATCAGACATCGAGAGCCTTGAAGAAAAGCGAATTCTGCTTGCGGGGGCTTGAAAGAATTTCGGAGGGCACAGAGTCACCAGTGATGCCTAAAATAGACTTGCTTACTGGAGCCAACACCACAGTTATGACCTTGAATTTAAGAAAAAACAATTGGAAACTAGAAAACCAAGTCACTTGGACCGTTCAATCAAGATAAAACGAAAAAATATTTCTGACCAATAATGTTGGTTCGACCATTTTTCCAGCATATAAGCCACTCACACGTCACTGACTTTCGCGCAGTCTTCGACCACCTGGTCACTATCTCCGTCCTTCCAACCATGGTTGAAGAAGGCCAGTCCTTCTGAGAGGTGGTCTTCCTTTATGTTGCACGGTTTCGTTGCGGCGGACAGAGCTGCGGCTGGGCTGACACCTTCATGAAAAGGATGTTGCGCCCTTCGAAAACGACGTGTTGCTCGTACAACCTGAAAGTAGATGGAGAAACTAATCAGTTGTTATGAAACAAATGTCTACGGACTATTTCAAGACCGAGGTGGCGAGATGGCTCAGTGGTTTGAGAGCAAATTTACTGACCAGAAGGTCCGTGGTTTGAACCCAACCTCTGCCTGTCGACTTTCCCTGTGTAGGCTTGGGCAACTTGGCAGTATCCTAGCCCCCGTGCAACCTTCGGGTGCCATGGCAGCTATGTATCTGAAAGGTGATACGACCGAAAGATTACCACTGTTATATCATTCTCGATCTAAAGAGACACAACTTCATACAACCGATATGAAAGCATTTTAGTGCATGCTGCCAAACCCGCTTAGTGACCGGGTTTTATCTGTCCGCCGTATTATTTCGCTGATTATTATTAAAAGTATTCCGATAAACGAAACTACTCAAAAGGTTGCTGAAAACTCTTCGCAGCTCACGACCGGTTTCGCCCATCCACTTCGGGTTCATCGGGTAGGCGTAGTCCCCTAGTTTCCGTCAATCTTATGATCTACTTGAGCCCAAATTGGACTGCTTCCGAGAAATACACTCATTTGCAGATGAATTTGGTTTTCACGAGAGACTCAACTGAATCTCTCGTTTGTGCTATTCTACAACTGAATGTGCTGCACACAGGCCGCCTCATGATTCAGTTGGCACGATATTCGAGATATCGCAGTATATTTTCATAAAAGAGACTACTCACAAGGTTGCTGAAAACTGTCCGACAGCCCGCGACCGGTTTTGTACTTTCTGGGGCTCATCAGGCGGGGTAAGTGCCAGAGTTTCCGTCAAACTCATCTTCTACTTGAACCCAAATTGAACGAAATTGGCGAAGTACGCTCATCGGCAAACAAATTTGGTTTTGACGGGAGCCTGACCTGGAACCCAGCTGAATCTCTTGTTCATGATGCTTTTAGGCGACTGAATGTGCTTCAACAGTCCACCCCATTTTTTAGTTGGCACGATATTCGAGATATCGCGATACATGTATGGGCGTAACACACTACTCATAAGGTTGCTGAAAGATCCTCACCGTTTTCGCTTAAAAATAAGGCATTCTGGTGGGCCACATTCAGTTGAAGAATACCATAAACGAGAGATTCAGTTGAGTTTCTCGTGAAAACCGTAGTGATATTCAAATGACTGTACTTGTTGAAAGTCTTCCTAGCCGCTGTGCTGAATTGTTCCCTACCTGAAGGCGAAGAGTATTCCACCACTTTGGGTTCTGAGTTACCGATGTCAGGCGGCCTGTTCGAGAGCAAAATACGCACTGGAATCGGCCATCGTAAAGCAATAAACCTTGGAATATCTGGATCAAATCAGGGAGAAACCTTGCGAAAGGCTTCTCTGAACAGCGCACCTGTTGTCCGATCCAAACCGTTTAAAGACACTTTCTTCTAGTCCAGATGTAAACATGAGGGCAAAATTTTCTAATATGCGGGAATCAAAACTAGCGCGAATGTAATGCAACACCCAGTCAACATGGATACACCAAGTTTGAAACCAGAAGTTAACCCTGGTGTTATGGGGCACTTGGTACGACCGAGTTTATGGAAGAGATCTGTGCGCTATCGTAGTAGAATTCAGTTCCACCCAAAATAACCTCTGCATTTTTAGTTCGTGTACTGGTGTTTGGAATATAAGATGACACTGCTCGGCTGTCAGACAAAGGACCAGGCTTCGGGAAGCGCGCCACTTGCGTCCTTCTGAGTTCACTGTCCTTTCGCCTTAAATAACATTAGGTAATGCTGTCACACGCACCTTGGTTTGTCGGTGGGAGACTTCGAGTGGTTGGAATACCCAGAGGAATCTCTCGTTTGAAATGTTTCCAGGCAAATGAATGTGCTGTACCAGGCCGCCTCATGTTTCAGTCTTTGAGTGGTTGGAATATTCCAAAATCCCAACAAAAATTGGTAGACATACCTACGATCTAACCAAGTCCGCTGCCAGTTTTTCATCCACTTCTATCGAATAACTCCAGAGCAACTTTTTCGTGTAACTCTAGCAGGGTACAGAGAATCCCTTGTACGTGTTACGTGAAACTATGATACTCCATGTTCACTTGAGTTTCGCATTGCGCAACTCACGTGTTGGGGTAGCGTCTGCTGCAGTTCATCTTGTAAAACATTGGCGCGATTAGTGAAAGGTTCCGGATTTCGGACCACTTCATATTCGGTCCGTTTTCGAAACCCCATCTCTCCCACCTCTGCTTCAGATGTGTCTGGTGCTTAGTTGTGAGATTTCGTGGGACAGTTTCGGCTAAAAACCAAGTCCAACTCTATTTAAACAATTGATAAGTGAAAGAGTTCCAACGTTGTTACCAAAATCAAAGCGAAAAATCCATCAGGATCCATCTACATTGACAGCCAATATAAGAATGTGACACACAAACACAAAGTTGACACAAACTCGATCATGATAAACGAGGGATTCAGCTGAGTTCCTAACGAGTCTCTCGCAAAACCAAATTTGTTTGCAAATGAGTGTACTCCGCTAATTTCGTGCAATTTGGGTTCAGGTGGAACATAAGGTTGACCAGAAACTTGGGAGCTGCGCTTACCTGATGAGCCCAAAATGGAAAGGCGAAACCGGTCGTGGGCTGTCGAAGACTTTTCAGCGTCCTTATGAGTAGCGCATTACGACTAAACTAAACAAGATCCAGGGCAACCAGAGCTTGGACGAACAATTGGATGACCCGAGCGTGACATTTTCAAAAGTTCTTGGCACAATCTCTCATACTGCAGTAACCGTCTAAGATGAAAAAAACCACCAGGGCAATAGAAGACTTGTTCTACAAACAGTTGGGTTTTTCGCCATTTGATTCAAAGCGTTTACGAAGTGCGGCATTAGACATCATCGGTCAAGGTATCTGTTATCGAGAGCAGCCGAAGAGTAGTCTTCTCACTCGAGGAGGAACTTCTTCGAGAACGGTGAAGCACCGACGAAGAACACTTTTTATCTCAGCTTGTAATTTCAAACATGACACGTCCCATTGGAAACACACCCAAGTCCAAACGTCAACCGGTCAAGTTGGCACTGCGCTAAGCCACACCTAGTAAGCGGGTTGCCGAGGCAACAATACACAACAGATGCCGCACGCTGATGACTCACCTATTCCGGCAGTTTCCTTGTTGGATCGGAGTCACTGAGTTAAGACATAAACGTACATCTGGCCCCTCAATTCGGGATCGACATTCATCGACCTCTGATGTACCTCTAAATGGAAAACGAGCAAATTCTCGGTGCAACAGCACAGGAAGTTCCGCATAGAATGCATGACATGTGACGCATATCCTGAGTGCGTCAGTCATCAATAATATACTTTTGAGAAACCTCAAGTATTCTTTTGCTTCTCTTTTCCAGGGAACAACCAGAATTTCGTCCTTCAAGGGGAACCAGTCTATGATGAATGACTTTTCATTCTGTTTGGGGATCAACCGCGCCTCAATCATCCGGAGAGAGATTCGAACTCTCAACCTTGCTTTATGTGACTGACAAAGAATGACTGGACAATGGGACGGTCAACCTACACTTAGTCGGGATACGTCGCCGCTCGCCTGCATTCGCACAGATCACGTGACCTCACCAGATAATGGCTGACTCCTCGAGTGACAACTTCTCAGATGAAGGTCAAATTTTTCCCCATAGCTGAACAGGTTACTTATGAATTTTTCGTCTATTTTTCGGTACTGGCGACGGTCTTGCGATTGTTTCTTTGTCACAGCACACGAACGATGTTCCGCAGATGAAAGGCTTGCAAGCGACTGATCAAAGTCTGAAAGCAGGTGAGCAACAGTCATCTGAGTAGTACCCGGTTAACGATTCCAAAAATCCCCAGGCAGAAAACCTATCAAAACCAGGTCGCAACTGTTAGACAGCCCACCCGAGGTTTACTTTGTCCAAATCGTACTCTATCATTGCCAACCTATTAAGTACTTTGGGATGGTGTGTTTTGACGGTGACCTTTTCCTCGCTTGATGTGGTCATCTCTGGAGCTAATCCAAACGAACCTCAGAGAAGTGACCTCCCTCGGGCAGGAATCCGCCAGCAAGGAATACTTCAAGAGACCAGCCTGGACTGTACGGAAGTTGGTAGAGCACGATTTACAAGAAACCGATTTAGTAATGACACACTTGTGTATTGGGCGCACAGGCAATCACGTGCACATCGTCTTCCGACAGGATGAAATCGTGCTGATATCTGGTTCTCCCTTAAGGTGGCGTCTTATGCCGACCGACGGTAATCGCCCTGTCCATGGTTCACTTATGAGCAGTGCATCACTGTAAAGTACTGACAAAGGCCAAAGTGCTTGCGAAGTACAGTACTGACTCAGACTGTTCTCCGAACTTCGTTGTACTTTTAAGAATGCTTGCGCACCCAACACTGAGGAGTAGGCACAGTCTTCAGTCCGACAACACAGAATAAGACACATCGAGTTCCGACGCTTTCAGTCTGTACAGGAATTAACAAACGGTGGTCCATAAGAACAACAAGAAGTGTTCCACGTCTGTTGAGGTTCCGTTGACTCGTTAATGAACTGCAGTGAGGTGGATGATTTTGGTCGAAAGGAATTCGGAAGGGAAGTGCTGAGGGCCCAACTTGGCTGCTATACATAGCTTCCGGGTGGAGTTATGGGAAAGCTTTAGTGACGACGCGGTTGGGGCTACATAGTTTGCCACTGTGTCTCATCTCTAATCGTCTCCCTCTCGTGATCACAAACCAAGAAGTCGGACGCTTGAAACATGGCCGGATGTGCCGGTTGGGAATTCCACGTTTTACTGTCCGTTCGTAATGTCACACGTGGTGGAGCAATCCTCGTCGTTGAGCTCAAGATACCTCATTGGTTAGGGCGCTCATCGAAAAGACCATGGTTCGGACCCAACTTCTGTATCTCTGCCGATCTCTCGCCCCCCCCCCCCCCACCCCCACCCCAACACATCACACGCACACGTGGTGGAGCAATCCTCGTCGTTGAGCTCAAGATACCTCATTGGTTAGGGCGCTCATCGAAAAGACCATGGTTGCGGACCCAATTCTGTATCTCTGCCGATCTCTCCCCCCCCCATCCCCAAAAAACAGTGCCCGGCATCCTTATTGGGCATTCTGAATTCGACTGTATGCTTCACCAAGACTTGCAGACCATCGAGCATCTTCCGGAACCTGGAGTATGCCTGGCGGTTGACTACAAGCTGAACTCAAATTGACTTTTGTAGATGCCAAGAGCCGTCGGAATAACTCCTAATGGGCTGGTCGCCAATTGTAGTCTGGAAAACTTCCATTTTTTTCTCAGTATGACATACTCTCTTCCAATTTATATGATTGCAGCAAGCTTCACCTCCAGGGGTCACATTTTGTACGTGATCGGTGCCACGAAAAGTGCCCGGTGAGAGGACATTATTCACTGTGTGAAATTGTCTAACCTTGAAAAAAAGCCTGTATACATAATTGTTTCAAATGACTAGCGGAAAATTTGTGTAAAACAACATGTGTATGTATGCTTGTGTAAATAGGATTGACGTGAATATCTGTGCTGGACACGCCCAACAATGATTCATCAGTACGTACCTACTGTGGTTAGCGTGCGCGGGATACATCCTCACTGAATGTTGTCAGAATTTTAAAAGTGTTATGTCACAGAGACCCCAGTCCCTCTCGGCACGCGCACAAAACACATAGTGATCTGTTGCCTCACGGTAACTGTAGTGACCTTTACAACCGAGTGACATGTAAACAGCCATCAAAACACACATGCAGAAATTATTTCTGTGACACCTCAGAGGTACGGACGCGCAGCAGTCGCGCAAGTCAAGACTAATCGATGATCAGGGTATGTTACAGTCGGCATAGCCGTGTGAACGATGCGTCGTGCAGAGAGGACGCCGTTCTCAAGTGTAGTCCCAGAATCGACAAATGCTAGCTGTTAGGACCAAACACTGTCATAAAAATGTAACGTTTACCTGTTTATTGCGCACACCAGATGAGTAGTCTGGACGCGCAGATGACTGACACTACCCTAGTCGAGACGAAACTAGCGTTCTGTCATCCAAGAATGCACGTGACACAAGCATCCGTACAAGGGAGATTGATGGTAAATTTCATGGTTGGTGTACTAACTACTAACGGGCTTATACGAGGAGACGAGACACGTGAAAAACGGGCTGGTTTCTAAAAATATGTGGTAGTTGCGACGAGCGTTCCCAACTATTTCATGCTCCTATTTTCCCCGAATATCTTGGATTTGACTAGGCCAAGACAGTTAGATGGAACGTGTGGTGTTAGGATGATGAATACTGAGTTCCAGGTGAGCAACACACACCACGTGGAGAATGCGTGAGGGAGAGCGTAAGAAGGAACACGGTACCACTTCTCTAGAACCAAGGAGACTCGGGGACTAAGGGGTTTTAAACGGCTAGCATTTCATGCTCCCGGGGGTATTCTGTCAATCGTAAGTGGAACTCACTATTTACAACAGGTATGCGTCAGTCAACAATTTCCTGAGGTCGGTACGTTGTCGGGACACCAACATGCAACCAAGGGAAACCGCTCATAATGGACACGGGAGTAGTAACAAGATATCTTCGAAGTAACCGGGAAACCTAAGACTCCTACAGCTCATCAACTGCAAAGTGCATCGGAACTGAAAATTCGCCTGATATTGCGCCATGAAACTGAGTAAAATGCAGCGAATGAACTCAGTATGGAATTAAAAAATGGGAAATGACGCTAAATAATGGATATCGGTGCATTCTGGAAGGTTCTAGGATGTTTTACACAGGGTTTCAAGGTTTCTGCAGAAACTAACCGCGAGTGTATGGTGAAAAAAAATTCAACGGATCAGTCAGTGAGGATCCTCAGGCGCCGCCACCACTTCAAACATAAGTTACAGTTCGGATGAGGGGATCATTTTTAAAAATCACATCTGCATTACTGCGTCTTCATCATACAGTTTTTTTGCTAATTTTCTGAATTGGTATGTGCACGACAAAACCAATATCTCAATTTTTTTTTGGCTGGCACATCCTCTGTTGTTGAGATAACAACTACTCAAAATTGCGTGCAGGTATAAATGTAGATATTGGCCGAAAGTATTCCAAGGTGGTGTAAATAACATTGATCCTCATTGTCAAGGTTTCCACAATTAAATCCCGTTCGTAGAACCATTTCGCAAGCCCCGCCCTTCAGCACGATGGATGGCGCCATGACATTTCTACGTTTGACCTAATACGACCATATATTATCTGCATACCGGTGAACTTATTTCAGATTCGAAGATTCTGACACGAGGGGCTCAGGGATTAGAAGTCTCCCTAAGTGAATCGCACACACTGACCAAACAAGCCAAAACTTGCAGGCTCTCACACAAAGTTGTGAGCAGCGCGTTTCAGATGAACTGATGGGTTGTCCCATTTTGCATTTGTTTACGTGTATTAGCCTCACTTGCCACTGAACTACTCTGTGTGAGAGAGACAACAATCACGACAAAGATGAGTCCACATTTGCATTCGCCCATTCACTGCTTGAATAATTGATGGCACCCTGGTGATTTGGAGACTCGGATGAGGCGTGCCATCCAGCTTCGCATGCGAAACTTTGTCACTCGATTGTAGAAGGATGTGGTAAAAAAAATACCTGGGAATGTTGCACCTGATGTTCTCAATTATAAAAGCGGTCCTTAGGTTCAGTTGGAAGTGAAATCTACCACTGAAGACTCACCCATGAATCCAGTTTCGAACGTCGTTGAAGCCATTTACGAGGGGACGAAAATGAATGATGATACTCGTTCACAGTTTCTGCTGAAGTATTTGTCGCCGTGGGTCGGTCTATGGTCTCGTAGCCACTTTCGCCTGTTGAATAGTCCAAACTGGTACACGGACATAGGCTGTTGGGCTGACTGGATTGCCGTTCGGTGGACACGTCGGATCGAACGCACGAGAACTGGCTGATGCTACGAGGACAGGCTTCGTGCTTGACTGATACGAACGGTGTCGGGTGAGGGAAGACAGCTGGGTTGCTGTAAACAAGAGAAATGAGAGAGATTCAATTTGGAAATTTGCCTTACCTGGTAACTTGCACAGCTGTGTATACTGAGTGGATTATTGTCGGTTGAAACTACTTTGTAAATTTACTTGTTACATGGATGGAAAGAATGTTTTTATTCAGTTATGGTGTCTGTTCTCTGGTAAACCGAAAATTGGGTTGAATGCACACGAACTATACAGTTGGCCGGTAGCCAACCTTCCCCCACCGCCTACTTCGATCGTAACTCAACCGTTACCTAGCCTCAACCCACACAGCATCCAAGGGAGAAACAAAGAAATTGGGAGTAGAGTAGAGTGGAGCGTTCGCAGAGCTGCTCTAGCCCTGTTGTGTCTCCAGTTTCTAGTCCAGAGATGAGAGCTGATGGTGAATCACCTGTTCCTCACCTGTTCCCATCAACTCTGAACCGGATAGAGCATGTCCATCGCATGTGACAACGTGGCATGACTGGGATTTAAGCAAGCATCTGAACCTTCGAGGAAGAAAAAACTGAAATTTAACCCTAAATACTATGCCAATTTTCGCCTGATAAGATGTACCAGCTTGGGATGATCCCTTGTGGTACAAATTGACACAACTTGGAGTGGTATTCAGTGACATTTCCGCTGATTGGACTGATTTGTACGAATGAAACTAGAGTGTCGATCACAAAGTAAAGTATGCCCACTTACCACAAGGTACAAAGCCTTGTTGTCGGTCTCCAGGTGTTTAGCTGTCTAGGACACACCATGTACTTTGAAACAGTTTGTACAGCCAAAAGACAACTGGCTCCCCTCTAAGTAACGAGTATCATTAAACTGGGGCGAGATGGCCCAAGTGACTAGAGCACGAATTTACTGACCCGAAGGTCCGTGGTTCGAATCCGACCCCGGCCACTCGACTTCCCCTGTCTAGGCTTGGGCAACCTGGCAGTATCCCAGCCCTCGTGCCTCCTTCGTGTGACATGGCAGCCTCAAAACTGTCTCCAGGTTGGCTGAAACGTTCGACGTATGTAGCGGCCAAACTGAAGTGAACTCAAAGAAGCGTCCTTCAGTTATCGGTCGCTCAGAGCAGCCAACCCGCTACGTATTTCATGCACATTGGATGTGTGCGGCCAAACCACAAAATATTTTCATCGAAGCTGAGGCTTGGGCACCTGGCAGTATCCCAGCCCTCGTGCCTCCTTCGTGTGACATGGCAGCCTCAAAACTGTCTCCAGGTTGGCTGAAACGTTCGACGTATGTAGCGGCCAAACTGAAGTGAACTCAAAGAAGCGTCCTTCAGTTATCGGTCGCTCAGAGCAGCCAACCCACTACGTATTTCATGCACATTGGATGTGTGCGGCCAAACCACAAAATATTTTCATCGAAGCTGCTACCATTTATGGGAATTGCTGCGCGGAAGACTCGAGTAGAACCACGGTGTCTGAAGTGGTTCGCTGATCCCCTAACCCATATAGAATAAGAGAACAACTCGTTTGAACAGACAGATCGTTGAAGTGACCCTGTCAGAACACATGGTCTTGAATTTCTCCACCGAGCGACAGAGCCTGGCTGTCTGTAGCTTACCGGGTTCGACCTAATGGTAACCTTATCCACTGCGTTGGGGTCTTGCTGCTCTGTTGATTGTCATGGGTTTCGAGTACAATTGAAGTTTGGTTCTAACAAAAACACCCAGGTTTCGGCTTCTGAACCAAATTGGTTTGCAGTTTGCATGAGGAGATTTCAGACTTGCAACGGAGACCTCGCCAGGTAAGTTAGGTCCAGGAAGTAACGAATTTTTTAAAGATGAGAACTGTCACACCTGTGCTACAAAGAGATGAGATGCCTTGAATTTGAAACGATTTTTGCTTCACTTTGAATTACGAATCAAACTTGTCCATCAACCCAGCGTCATATAAAAGTCTGTTTTACTTAAACGCCATGTGATGACAGCGAGCTGTAGAAAAAACGATAGTAGTTCTAATGCACAACTCCTATGGTTCATATTTTGGAGTTGAAGTAATGGTTCGAATTAGATTCTTCCTCCTCGTAATGTCCTCACTGCCAGTAGAAATTAAGCAAACCGCAAGAAGATAAAATGAGCGAACCTGCAATGATTACTGTGGTTACTTAGTTAATTTGCGGAACCTGCTTTTACATCCTTTTTCTTTGAACCTTTCTCGTTCTGTCTCCGAAGGGTGGTCACGATGAGTCAACACCGAAGAGGTGAGGCATTGCGCTCGAGTTTCGTTCTTATTTGAGTTCACCACCAGTGCATATCACCGAGAATCATCAAAGACAGCCAGATCAGTGTTGGTACTGATGCTTCCCTGCCGTACTATCACCGAGAATCTAATACACGAGACGATTGCGGTACTACCGCTCCATCAGCGTACATTGAACGCATCTCGATCACCACGTCTTAACAGATAGACACGTTCACGCTTGAACGAGGTGATTCCTCGATGTGGTTGGCTGATTTCCGAAATGTCTTCAAGTCTGAATGTAAAAGCCGGCGAACTGCTAACCAGCTTACTGACACTCTCCTGTTTATCTACTCATTACTGAAATGATTAACGAAGTATTACACTCCGTCGTTCTGTTAGTGAGCGGAGCCCATCATCTCTTCCAAACGTGTTTGGAGACGAGAGTTTCAGCCACTGGCTATTCGAAACCATGTCTTGATACTTGTGAGCATGACTAACCAAATAAAATCGGTCGAAACGGACGCTCTTTTAAAACGCACACGTGAATAGTACTCATTAATTCCAGTAATGCCGTTTCATGATTCACTTCAAAACGCCTATTTTCGACCTTATCCGGTCACCACCGGAGTTTTCAAGAACAAACCTACGCAGCCACAAAATCACGTGACCGAACATTTGGTCTACCAAACACACCAATGAAAGACGCGATTCTTTGGGCTGACTTGGTCAGTCTAGGCCTTCAAACCCCGTACCTCACTCGTGGACGGATATAGGGCTTCGTTAACCGTGGAACACGAACGGAGCGAATGCAGAACATCGGACACAAAAGCGAGAGCTTTACCTATACCAAATTTGCAAAAACCAACATTCTCAGGCGTACTCCTTTGCTTTCCGTACACTGATTGACTATTTAACATGAGCTAACGGACACCGTAAAGCGACCAACTAACGAATAGTTACGGAAACGTGGCTTTAAAATGCACTGGACAGATATTACTCATGCTCTTCATCAGTAGCATACTCCGCTACACCGATAAACAAATGTCAGTTTGGAGTACGAATTCCTTGTGTATTTACCTCCAAAAGCTGATCAAATCACAAAAAAGGCTGCATTATTTGGTCCTGCAAATTAGTTCTCTAAGTGGTGTAAAAACTCTGAGAACTATGAAAGGTAAGAGGTACCCGACCTCTGTCTCTCGACTTGCCCTGTCTAGGATTGGGCGACCTGGCAGTAGCCCAGCCCTCCTCTGTGTGACATAGCAGCTAGGCACCGAAAGGGTGCTACAGCTGAACGACACATAAAGATTAACTCTTAAGGGGCCAGCAAGTGTTGATCGACACTGCACCGTCAGCAGTTCTTTCAGCAGGACATACATAAGTTACTGCTTTGTTGATCGCGAGTTCTGGGTGGTTGAAAACCTTGCATCAAAGCCATTCTACTAGATAACCCCCAAAATTAGAGAAACATTGGGTTCATCTTTGTCATGCGGCTTGCCATACCTGCTAATGGACTATCGAAGCCATTGGCAATTAAATGAAATTCATTCCCACAAATTAATAAGCTCGATAAAATGTTACATTTTCACAAGTAATCACACAACTTAACTGTTTGGGTAGCCAGATACGATGGCGTTGTTATCATTCCCCTTCGCATACCTTTACTCAGTTCCCACCACTGAGACCCCAGCAACCCAGTTGCTATGCAACAAAGGACCCACAATTGGCATTTAAGTGACTCAAAATGCTTCCCCTTTCAGAGTGACCATTTGCACGGCCAGCTATAGCAAAAACTAAGGCAGTCCATTGTTCCAATCCACAGTCGTCGTTCAAACAATGTCTCCATCTGTTGTTCTACTGTGGCATCATAGACCATCCTTTGTTTCATAGTTCACAACACCGGGCGGCCAAGGTTTCCCTTAGTGAAGCAGATAGTTTTAAATGGCTGAAGGGGTCGTAGCATTCACATTCATGTCACTCTCGTTTGAATAGTCTTCCTTCTTCCCTCGTGAGTCCAGGAAAAAGATGGTGAGCACTGGACCTGAGTTATCACCATTGTTATTCGAAGTCGTCAGCAGTGCGTATCCTCGACTCTGTCAGGGTTCGAACTCCTGATATGTTATAATATCCACTGGCACATGCTAGACACACCTGACTTCTTACAGGCGAACGTTTTGACAATTAGTATCCAGGTGCACCGTATGTCTGACATCCCTGTATTGACCGTCCACCAAAGAAGTGCTTTTCGAACGCCGAACTTTGAGCGCCTCGGTGTAAACACAAGTCCGAGTCTAACAGTGACTGTAAATGAACTGTTGGAGAACGCGCGGAGCCACTCGCAGCTGACTGTGCCTCCTTCGTGTGGCATGGCAGCTAGGCACCGAAAGGATGCTACAGCTGAACCAGGGGCGAGATGAACCAAGTGGTTAGAGCGCGAATTTACTGACCGGAAAGTCCGTGGTTCGAACCCAACCTCCACCTCTCGATTTCCCCTGTCTAGGCTTCGGCAACCTGGCAGTATCCCAGCCCTCGTTCAACCTTCGGGTGGTATGGCAGCTAGACACCGAAAGGGTGCTGCAGCTGAACGATTCAGTTTGTAGTACTGTTCAGCTACATATGGTCCACAATGCCCGCTGTCAAGACGGCAGAGATCTTTCCTGTATGATGTTACTTACATTGTCAATGGAAACCCCTTGACAACTCATTGACATCGCTACCAAAACTCACTCACCCAACTGCGAACTGATGGTGTCATCTCGACTGGTGACGAAGCGCTAGCCAGCTAATTGCTCCTTTCAGCAAACAGATTA